ATACTTTTTGTGGGGGCTTCTTGTGTCTTCCATGCTCTGGCTATGAGGGTACATGCTGCTATTATTGTGTGGAATAACAGTTTGGTGTGGACTTTCGTCAGGTTCTCAGGCCATATATATAAGAGGCACATCTCAGGTGTTAGCTATGGGCATAGGTAGCAAGTGGGTGAGAATCTCGCCCACTGTGGTCCAGTAGGGTCAGATGAGCTTACACGTCCACCATACGTGGTACATTGAGCCCCTTTCCGTCCCGCATCTCCAGCACTGAGAGGAGGTGCCAGGGAATATATGTGCTAGTCTTATTGAGACCAGGTACCACCTGTATTGCAGTTTCCGTATTTGATCAAAGTGTGTGATGCATGCTGTGTTGCCCTTGTAAATTGTGAAAGCTCTGGACCATTGGTCTACGGTAAAAGTGCGGCCTAAGTCATCGTGCCAGGCTTGTATAAATTTGTCTGTGTTGGTTTGTGTGTGTTCCAGCAGTGTTGCATACACCATCGAGAAGAGTTTTTTGTGTGGTGTGCCATCGAGACACCAGGTGTCAAATCTGGAGATTGTGGGCACCTGCAGGCAGCTTGTGGTTGTCTGCAGTAGGGATTTAAGCTGTAGGTATGAGAAGAGTGCTCTGTTTAGGAGGTCAAACCGTAACTGCAAGTCTGGGAATTGTTTCACGGTGGTTCCACTGTATAGGTGGTGTATGTGTGTACATCCTGCTCTTGTCCAATTGGTATAGTCAAATGTCAGATGTTTGGTCGTCGCTAGGATGTGTGGTGTGTCGGGCCTCTGTTGTTTCTGTACCCAGAATAGGTGATATAGCCCGGCTTTGCATGACCAGTGGGATTCTATGGCTACCCATTGTGGGGTTGTGGTCGTCCTATGTGTGATCGCTACTGTGGAGAGGAGCACGGCCTTGTAATACAGTTTTATGTCTGGGAAGTTCATCTCTCCCTTAGCTACGGGTTTCTTAAGCGTGTGCATTGCTACTCTGGGTCTTTTATTTGCCCATACAAATTGTGTAATGGTTTTTTGTAGGGCTACCATAAATTGTTTGGGGATGTGGATCTGTAGTGTGCGGTACAGGTATTGCAGTTTTGGGAGCAGCATCATCTTGAAGGCCGCTATGCGCCCGTGCCAGGAATGGAAATCGCTGTCCCATGCTTGGAGTGTTTGTGTTACCTCTTGTGATAGCTGCTCGTAATTGTATTTGAGCACTAGGTGTGTTGTCTTAGCTATTTTGATCCCTAAGAAGGTTATGTAGTCGTCCCTCCAGTCAAAGTTAAAGGATGCCTTCAGTGTCCGTATGAGGTGTCCCGGGAGGTCAAGCCCCATCGCTTGTGTTTTCGTCAAATTGAGTTTATAGTAGGATACTTTGTTATAGTCTTGTATGCACTGTGATAAATTGGGGAATGAGATTTTTGGCTGCGCAAAGTCAGGAGTATGTCGTTTGCAAAGATGTTGAGGGTGTATCTTTTGTTACCCACTTGTACGCCCTGTATGGATGGGTTTGCCCGAATCACGGCCGCCAGGGTCTCCAGCGCTAATACATACAGTAGGGGCGACAGGGGGCATCCCTGTCTAGTCCCATTTGTAAATTTTGAGTTTGTTAGACACAAAACCCGAGTTCAGCACCTTAGCCATTGGTGCCGAGTACAAGGCTCCGACTGCCGAGATGAGGCCCCCCGGGAGTCCAAATTTGTGTAGGACTGCTCCCAGGAACCCCCAGCCCAGTTGGTCGAAAGCCTTTTCCGCGTCTAGGGATAGCAACAGCCCCCTTCCTTTGAGATTTTGAGACTATGTATTATGCTGAGGACTTTTCTAGTATTGTCTGCCCCCTGTCGTCGTGTCACAAACCCCACTTGATTGTCATGGATAACACAAGGAAGTATAGGTCCGAGTCTCAGTGCATACAATTTGGCCAGGAGTTTGGCGTCCGTATTAAGGAGCGAGATTGGTCTGAAGTTTTGCGGGCATGTTGGTGGCTTGCCTGGTTTGGGGAGAGTGATAATATGTGCCAATTGCATCGCCTCAGGGAGTGACTCTGTGTAGGGTCGGAGGAGCTTACACGTCCACCATACGTGGTACATTGAGCCCCTTTCCGTCCTGCATCTCCAGCACTGAGAGGAGGTGCCAGGGAATATATGTGCTAGTCTTATTGGGACCAGGTACCACCTGTATTGTAGTTTCTGTATTTGATCAAAGTGTGTGATGCATGCTGTGTTGCCCTTGTAAATTGTGAAAGCTCTGGACCATTGGTCTACGGTAAAAGTGCGGCCTAAGTCATCATGCCAGGCTTGTATAAATTGTTTAAATTGTGTAAATTGTGTTTCAAAACAGTAAAAAGTATCACAGCAATAATATCGTCCGTGTAACTGCTGTTTGTGCATGAAAAATGCAAAAAACTTCACTTTTACTGGCGATATCATCGTTGTAATACAGTTTACTGTTTTGAAACACTAATATTTGTGTTCAGCTAAGTCTCCCGAGTAGAACAGTACCCCCCATGTACAGGTTTTATGGTGTCTTGGAAAGTTATAGGGTTAAATATAGTGCTAGCAAATTAAATTCCCTTTACTTTCGGCATGGGTTGTCAGGCAGGTCCCACTAATTGTAATTAATTAAGATACCTAATTATGTAAAAATATTACATAAATATATATGTAGAATTAATATATGTATATATATACGTATGTAAATCTATATGTGTATATATATATATAATTTTTAAAAAATATTTTTATTTATATATAAGTATATATATAGTGATATATACGTATATATTTATGTATGTAGATATATATATTATTTCGTTGTACGTGTATTTTGATATAAATATATATATATTAATATCACAATACAGTTACAACGAAATAACACACATCTTTATATTTTTTAATTATTTTTTTTATTTTATTTTTTAACGTATTTACATATTTAATTTTTTTATATTATATATAAATATATATATAACAATAATTATATATATATTTAATCAGTATCAGTCTACGTGTAATTTGATATTAATATATATATATATATAATTATATATATTAATAGTAACATACACCTAGACAGTGTATGTGTGTGTATGTATATGTGTATATATATACTTAGATCATATATATATAAGATATATATATGATCTAAGTATATATATATATATATATATATATATATATTTTTTTTTTTTTTACACTTTACTTTTTAATTAATTTATTTTAATTTTATTTTCAGCCAGCAGGGGGACCACTTGTCATTACAGGCAGCCCCCCTGCTGGCAATGCAGGAGGCAGCTACCCCCGGCCATATGATTGTGGGGTCCTCGCAAGGACCTCACTCTCACATGGCCGGGGGGCACCGGAGGAGGAAGATCTACCGTGGGGGGCTCCCTGGGAGTCCCCCCCACCGCGATCGCCGGCGTGGGACCGCCGGCGACCGGGTAAGTAAAGAAAGACCGGAAGGCGTACAATTACGCCCGGCGGCGTTTAGAGCCGCCTAAAATAGGGCGTAATTTACGCCCTCCAGTCTTAAGGGGTTTAGGGGTTGAGGGGTTAACCCCTTCAGGACAGAGTTAATAGTACACATTCTGATCAAAACAAAATGTAAACAAAAACTGGAATTTGCGCTATATGTCTGTTTAATCGTAATTCACCTCTTTCATATAAAGTGCACCCACACTTATTATATATCATTTTGTTCAGGAGAAACAGGGCTTTAATTTTACAGGAGCTATTCATATATGAAACATAATCTATTATGAATAAAATAAAAAAAACTATGTATCCGCCTCACATTTTAGCTGTAAATGTCATACTACTGTTAGCTTTTACTGCAAAGAAATAAATACAGCACATTCAATTTTTCAGGTTTTTCACATTGAAATTTGCTAGATTAGTAATGTTACCTTTGAGACCGTGTGGTAGCCCAGGAATGAGAATGACCCCCATGATGGCATACCGTTTGACAAGTAGACTACCCAAGGTATTGCAAATGGGGTATGTCCAGTCTTTTGCAGTAGCCATTTAGTCACAAACACTGGCCAAAGTTAGCATTCATATTTGTTTTTGTGTGAAAAAAGCAAAAAAACAAATATCTGGCCAGTGTTTGTGACTATGTCCCTACTAAAAATGACTGGACATACCCCATTTGCAATACCTTGGGTTGTCTACTTTTGCAAATGGTATGCCATCATGGGGGTAATTCTCATTCCTGGGCTACCATACGGTCTCAAAGGTAACATAACCAATCTGACAAATTTCAATGTGAAAAAAATGAAATGCAAGCCTTATATTTGACTCTCTAACTTTCCAAAACTCCATAAAAACTGTACATGGAGGGTACTGTTATACTTGGGAGACTTCACTGAACACAAAAATAAGTGTTCTAAAACAGTAAAACATATAACAACAATAATATTGTCAGTAAAAGTGCCATTCGTGTGTGAAAAATGCAAAATACTTCACTTTTACTAAAAATATCATTGTTGTAATACAAGTTACTATTTTGAAACACTAATGTTTGTGTTCAGCAAAGTCTCACGAGTAAAACAGTACCCCCCATGTACAGGTTTTATGGTGTCTTGGAAAGTTATAGGGTTATAGGGTTAAATTCAAATTCTCTGCACTTTCTGCCTGGAATGTCAGGCATGTCAATCAAATTTTAATTAATGAGATCACATAATTATGTTAAAATATTACTTAAATATACACGTAGAATTTAGATATATAAACATATATATGTATTTAAAGTCTACGTGTACACTTATGTAGTTATTTATGTAATTATATATATATTTATGTGTATATATATATATATATATATATATGCGGTTATTTGTATTTTATATATAGATAGATATATATAGAATGTCATTCTAAGTGTATTTTGTTACATATATATATATATATATATATATATATTAATAAAATACAGTTAGAATGAAATTACATATGTATATATAATTTATTAAAAAAATCTTTGAGAGCGATCACATGGCCCCCGAGGCCTGATTTGCCATGGGAGGGCTGCCTGGGCTGTCAGGCAGTCTTCCTAAAGAGGATCGCGGCAGAGGTAAGTAAATTTCACCTCCTGGGGCTACAAGCCGTTACAGCGTTCTATGCTGCCGCAATGGCTGTAAAGCCCATTTAAATAGGGTTGGCATAGAACGCCGTAACGGCGTTAAGGGGTTAATAAGTGTCCAGAGACAAAGTAAAAAATAAAAACAAAGAACAAAGTAGGAGACCGGGAAGATTCTAAAATCTCCATTGTGCCAAACTTAAAGGAAGAGAAAGCATCCTCAGGGGAGGTATTCTATCCGTTTGATAATAGTTTGACTTCTTATTTGGGGTCCACAGGTCACCAGTCACATTATCCACGGAGAACTGGAAGCTCCTACTAGGAGCTTCTGTTAGCTCTCATGAACTAAACCCTGCAACAGAGCTGACTAAAAGTGTCAGCCGATAGCTATACGCCAATGAGCTAAGCCCTGCAGTGTGGGGCTTTGCACAGTGAACAGTTTACCAAGCATTCAGAAAGGCTGTGCCATTTGCCTGGTAGACCTTTTAGGGGGCACCAGAGCACAATTGGCACCATAACTACTACAGACAAATATGCTAAGTAGAATTAGAAAACACATAACCATTTCTTAATTTTATAATGTGAAACATATGGTAAGAGCTATAATTTAACTGAAATTTCAATACAGTCAAAAGATATTATATGTCAAAGTAGGGGCTATTTTGTCTTACAGTTTAGCCTGAAGTTGACAAAATTTGACAGTACACAGAGCTTATGCTACCAAGTATTATTATGTCCAAAGCCATTACTAACAACAACAATAGTATGAAGAGGATTCAAGAATTTTGAAACACATTGCAATCCTAAAACAAACTTCTAAGTTATGTTGAAGAAAATAAGGTACAACAGAATATTTAGATAAATGGGTCACCCAGTGACACCTAAGAGAAACAGAGTGTGCCTTCTGTGACTGTGATATACAAGATGAAATCTAACTGGATTCAGTTCTAGGTAGGTCCAAGGAAAATGACATTTGCAAGCAGACCTCAATATGCACTGCAATAAATATAGCTCAAGCATATGAAACATTGTGAGCTCACATGCAATTACTTCACAGTAACACTGGCACACAAGTCTTGCACATGGTGCAAAGACAAAGTGAAAGTACCATGATAATTGCAAACTAAATCTGTAGGACACAGAACTAATCCTGCACAGAACATGTAATAAATCACAAGAGAATACAAGCTAAGAATGTAAAAAAAAATGTGAAAGCTAATGAACATATGATCATTATACCATGAGGTGCAGGAATTTCACATTAAAACAAAGCTATAATAGATTTTTTTTTAAAAGGAGTAGAACTACACCCTGTTCCAAATTATTATGAAAATTATATTTTTCTCATTTACCTAAATAATTGATGTAAATAACAGTCAGCTTAATTCTCATGTTATCAACTAGTAAGAGTACAATTCAAATTTTATTAAACGAACCTAACGATAACAGTATTTTTAAAAAAAAATAAAAAACTTACAATGAACTGTTCCAAATTATTACGCACAGTAAGTTTCAAAACACTTTATAGGTTGTAAAGAACTGAAAATTGTCATTTGTTGTGTTTGCAGCATATTTACTGAAATCAAAAGCTATTTCAATCAAACTTATAACAACATTTTAAATTTTTAAACATTTTAACAGGTCACGTTACATTTTAACATAGGACCCCTTACTTGATAGCAACTTCACAAGTCTTGCATCCATTGAACTTGTGAGTTTTTGGACACTTTCTGCTTGAATTTGTTTGCAAGATGTCGAATAGCCTCCCAGAGCTGCTGTTTGGATTTAAACTCCCTCCCACCCTCATAGATCTTTTGCTTGAGGATGCTCCAAAGGTTCTCAATAGGATTGAGGTCAGGGGAGGATGGAGGCCACACCATGACTTTCTCTCCTTTTATCCCCATAGCAGCCATTGATGCAGAGGTATTCTTTGCAGCATGACATGGTGCATTGTCATGCATGAATATGATTTTATTACAGAAAGCATAGTTCTTCCTTCTGTACCAGAGAAGAAAGTGGTCAGTCAGAAACTCCACATACTTTGCAGAGGTTATCTTTACACCTTCGGGGACCCTAAAGGGGCCGACCAGCTCTCTTCCCATGATTCCGACCCAAAACATGACTCCACCACCGCCTTGCTGACGTCACAGCCTTGTTGGAACAGGGTGGCCGTCCACCAACCATCCACTTCTCCATCCATCTGGACCATCCAGGGTTGCACGGCACTCATCAGTGAACAGGACGGTTTGAAAATTAGTCTTCATGTATTTTTCTGCCCAATGCAGCTGTTTCTGCTTGTGAGCATTGGTTAGTGGTGGCCGAATAGAAGGTTTATGCACAGTTGAAAGACTCTGGAGGACTCTACACCTTGATGTCCGTGGTACTCCAGAGGCACCAGCAGCTTCAAATATCTGTTTTCTGCTATGTCATGTTATTTTAGCAGCTGCTCTCTTGATCCGATGCATGAATCTGGCAGAAATCTTCCTCAATGTGTCTTTATCTGCATGAACCCGTCTGTACTCTGAATCAGCCACAAATCTCTTAATAGTGCAATGATCACGCTTACGTTTTCGTGAAATATCATACCTCGTCCAAGGCATTGAACTATTTTACTCTTTTCGGCAGCAGAGAGATCCTTTTTCTTCCCCAAATTGCATGAAAATGGCGCTCTGCTTAATAATGTGGAACACCCTCCTTTAGTAGTTTTTCCTTAAATTGGGCTCACCTGGCAATCTAACTATCACAGGTGTCCGAGATTGTTTTCAGTGATCAAAAGAGCCCTGAGACACAATGCCATCCATGAGTTAAACTGAAAAACAAAATATTTAATCTTTGTGACACTTAAATAGAATTTGGATAATAATTTGGAACAGGGTGTAGATGAAGTGTTTGAGAATATTTTGGCTACACGAAAAGTACTCCTTCAATGTAAAATTGATACAAAGGCATACCTGCATACACATGTTATGACAAGCTGTCAGGATACCTCCTAAAATTAGGAGACAGGGTGGGCAGGCCTATTGGGATGTGACAGTGAAGTGGTCCCTTCTGGAAAGGGATTGGATTTTCCAAGAAAAGGGCATGTCTGCCTAAAGTGAATGCAAGACCATTCTCACTCAGAGTAGAATATACAAAGAACACTTTTGAAGTTTCCTGGGCATGGTCTTAATATCTGATTACATTTTTCATAGTTCAAGTACATCTTTTGAAACACTCGTGCATTTCTGATTGGGGACATTTCCCTAGTTTCCCCACATGTGGCGCACCAGAGAATTGATCCTGGAAGATGGGACCGGAACACAAAATCAGGACAGTCCTGCTTGATATGCAACTATTGGGAGTTATCCGTCAGACATATCTAAACTGGATTGATGGAACGTGTGGGTTATGAATGCATCCGTTTACATGTAATTGGATAATGTTCATGTGAGTGTGAGATCAAAAGCAGAAAACACTATCTGAAATATTATATACAACCTGTTCTTGGATTAGGTGCATACAAACAGTTAAAACTCAAAATAATTATTACTGGTACCTCAAATAAAAAGTGTTTTACAAAGCAACAACTGTTTTCAGATGTACTTCAGGACATGGGTTGTTTACCTGGAGAATGCACGCTTAAGTTAAAACCAGATGAACATTAATTCACCACTCCACAAAAAACTTCCAACTGCTACTAAAGACAGATTAAAAAAAAGGAACATGATTGCATCATAATAGTTGGTGTGAAGCAAAAACAAGAAAAGCCTTCTGAGTTGGTGAACTCCATAAATGCAGCAGGTTAAAAAATATGTAAAAATGATTTAAGAATTTATATTGATTCAATGAATTTAATCAGAGATTGCCTGTGAACATTATGGTTTATCCAGATATCATTAAACATCAGCTAGCAAGTTCTTCATTGTATTGTGTGCTACCTCAAACAGGATGAACAAAGTAATAAGCACAATCTGGACGAACAAAGTAGTAAGCTCAACCATTCAGGAGATGGCGCATGAAAAGAAAAGAAAAAGCTCATAGAAAAACTAGTGGGTTAAACTGTAAAATTGTGTACATGTGATTATAGAAGATAATCTGTTGTATTGGTCTACACTGGAGGAACACAACCAATATCAATGTCAATGTGTGTTTTTAGGTTGTTCTTGTGAGAGAAACTTGAAATTTGATACAAGCAATTTGCAAATCATCATTATTCAAATGAACTAGTTAAACTAAATTACAATATTTTGACCTCGAGAGAGGTGAGAATACTGGTTCATGTCTCTCACTTCAGGTTACAGGCAATACTAATGCAGAAAGGAAGCCATGTTGCTTATATTTCAATGATTTCTACCCAACTCAACTATATATATATATATATATATATATATATAAATATGTACAAAGTCCGGCACTCTACCTTTAAGAATAATAATCCCAGAAAAAGCCTCGGTGCTGCAGAGCGTAAATAAATAGAAAAATAGTAGCAAAGAGAGCACTCCAAAGGACTTGTTGAAATTTTTTTATCAAAGTGCAGAAAAAAATCGACGTTTCGACCCGCAGGTCCTTATCAAGATACATAACATAGTGAAGTGGTAACATTTATAACAATAAATAATTAGGGGGTAATCACTTACCCTGAGATAGGTGTGCAGCTACAGAGCCATGTGTACAAGCTGTGAATAGATGAAAGGTAGCGTGTAAGTTCCGTAACGGAATGATGACGTCAACCACGTGCGACCAGGAAGAGGAAAGCCGAAAGCGTCCGGTTTCCATAGAAACAGGTAAGTGATCGTGTATAGTGTGAAGCAAATGAATAAACAAGATAGGAAAGATCTATACAAGTAAAAAATAGAGAAAATCATAGCCATGGTGTATCTTAAAACGGACGTATATAAAATAGAGGTAGGAGGTCCAGTGAAACACAGCCACTCCGTACCACAGTAGTGAGACCGTGAAACAGAGTGAACAAAGAAAAAAAAAAATAAATAAAACATGTAGAATACCAAAGAAAGTAAGGACCATCAGTAAATACGTATATTAGAATAATTGCAAGCATTGTGTAAATATATACATTGTGTTATCAATATACAGTGTGGATAATAAGTACACCATGGAACTACTAATAAAAGCAGAAAATCCCTTATGCAGAGAAATGACAAGAA